TATCACACTGCGAGGTATTGAGTCCTATCCCTACCCGACGTAATGATTTGAGTCCTTGGAGCCCCATTCATACAGTTACTGGTATGTGTTCTTGTGGAATATAAGCCGGCTTTGTGACAGCCTGGTACATGGTTTGAAGACAAAAGTGTAATGTAGCCCGCGTAGACGGACTGTTTCGTTTTGTCAGACATTGCATGCGTGTCTTACTAACGTGGTATTGCCAAATTAGTCAGTCAGCGGCATTGCGTCCATTCCATGGGGTATGCGGTTGAACTGTTGAACTGATTTGAGAAGTTATCAATCGGGGAGAGAGAGTGGTAGCAACCAAGAGATGGAACACCGCATCTGCCACCAAGAGTCATCACTTCACCCAACTCCTAGACAAAATAAAACAAAATTCAAAGTCGAGCGCAAAGCACCAAGGGCCAACGAAGACCCACGGACAAAACCCTCTTACTGAACGATATAGATTATATTTGAGAGGCCTAGTACTTGCTGAAGATCAGTTATTTCTTCGCCACATGCGAGTACAACTGTTATATGAATTTTTATTTTATTGAATTTAGAGATATGTTGTTGATTTATATCTGTAGATTTTCCTTATCTGTATTATCGGTAAACGTACTGTGGGGAAACCCGCTTATCAAAATGTAGATTTCTGAAATTCCTGAAAAAATAAAAATGTTGGTTAGGAGGCCGTCTACTTCAACTTACCTGAGGTCCAACTTACTGTTCTGGAGTTAGATTAGTATAGTCTGCGGTGCGAAGCGCCGCGCACACCTCCAATTTACACGCAGAACATTTTACTCTCAGGGGCCGCGGGAAAAAAATTCAACTACAAATTCAACTACATTTTCCCACTTTACGTTTACTTTCACACATTTCCTTCACCGCCTGCCCTATTTCCCCCCCAAACCCCAATAACCACTGTTTCCGTAAAACAAAATGCTGGGAATAGGGGGTATATAAGGTGCGCTACTTAAACGACCTTTGCCCTGCTTTCTTCCGAAAGTTGATGTGCATTCCTAAACCAACATCCATCGGCTTTGACAGCATAATATTCCTATTCTGCCAGCAGGCTCTAAGTAGCATATGCGCACTGATTGATGTTTTATGTGCTGTTTGCATAAGCAGATCTCTAAGCAAGCATCATCTTACGCTTCTCCAACCTTTTTGACCCCAGTTAACTATCCAACCCTGGTGCTTCAAGCTCAAAAGGAGGCAGATGGGTTTCAACTGACCTGCTCCGTCAACAGCTGTATGGAAGACAAGGATGATGCGAGTGGCAGCAGCAGCAGCAGTGCGGATCAAGCCTGCCAGCGACCACCAGGCACACAGATAAGCTGCAGAGGCCTGGAGTTGGATCGTCTTTCACCTGGCGACAAGCAGGATCATCCGGTGGTGCTTGTGCGGGAGGGTGAAGTCGTTGAAGCTTGGTCGGAAATACTACCAGACCTGCAGATAATTGAAAGCTCACAGTCGAGTCTCACGGTGAAAATACCCAAAAGTGAGTGGACCCTCTAGGCACTTTGTGCCATCTTTTTGCCTCAGCACAACTAGGAGTCTTACTGTTAGCATATAGGAGACATTCAGTCCTCTGGCTCATTTTTAAAGTTCATCCAGGCGATATATTGTGTATAATCAAAGTTCAGCAGCTTTAGGATTCTTTTTATTACATTATCACAATCAGTGTGCTTTGGTAGATTTAGAAAGCATTTGCATTCCATAACCTTTCGGTCATTCAATGGCGGGACATTCGTTAACATGAAGTGCCCTTTGGATTGCACGTGCAAACTCGTTCAGCGTTTCAGGGATAGGGGCAGTTAAAAGATAGGAATTGCATTCACCGGGAAGAGTTTATTAGATAGCTGACATTTCGGGTATTAATAGTCGCGCCGTC